GAAATAGTGGATTACTCCGTAAATATTCATCCATGACATTTAATATTTTGGCTTTCATCATTATACATGTTCCTGTCTGTTTTCTTTTATATCTGTCATTGAGTGGCCGGTTGAGCAGTACAGTAAGTTTCTGAAACAGCTTCTAGATTGCGCTGCTGCTCCTGATTGCTTTTCTTCAGCTGCAGACACATGAGATCCAGTGGGAATCACTGGCTAAAAGACGCTGTTTATATCTCTATTGATGTGAATATATATTTGGATTAGGATTCATTTTGGGTGGCATGTTTGAAATCAATGTTTGCACCAGATTTAGTTCACATCACACTCAATCGATCATCATGTTAGCTTTGCTCATCTGTCATTTGACTGCAGCTTATTTTAGTCTGTTTATATATATATATATCAGTCTGGCGAGTAAACTAAAACATTTACTAGCCAATGCCGATTCAATTGCCAAGGTGTCCGTAGAGGGTTGAAGCACCTGTTTTGCAATATTTTGGGTTTTGAAAAGCCCGTTGACTTTTGCCGTTCATCTAAGGTGATTTTGGAATTTTTTTTTAAACATTTGTTTCTCATTTATTTGGTTCCACAGTGTTTGCTGATTTTTACTATATTTAAACTTTGTGTAATTTATTTATTTTATTTTGCATCAAGGTTCATGCCGTGCCTCCAAGCTTTCTTATTCTTTTTGCGTTTCTTATTCGTTTCTTATTTATTTGGTTCCACAGTGTTTGCTGATTTTCAATTTTGTAGCCTTGCCTTTATACCTATTTAAAATTTGTGTGAGTTATTTGTTGTTTAATATTAGGCATATAGCATGGTGTATTTTTATTTGTTTAGTTAATAAAAGTTCTATGATATATATTAGTGGTTGACCGATATATCGGCAAGGCCGATATTTGACATTTTTCATATATCGGCCGATAAGTTTTTCTGTTTGGCTGATGCGTTCGAGGCGGGACTTTTATTTTGACGGTGCTGAGAACGGCAGCGCCTGCGCACACAGTGCTCACATTCTCCTTGTTCGCTGTCGTCGTTAACAGTTCTGTCTAATACGGAGAGAAATCTGTCTAATAATCAGAAAGAACTGTTAAACAGGAATTAAAATGTATACAAAAAGTATTATAAC